TGCCGGCTAGAAACTGAACATTGTTGTGAAGCTCCTCGCTAGTAAACTGCAAAATCCTGAATTCAGGGCTAACCAATGATTGATGAGACAGTGCTGGACTATAGGCCAACGATATTCTCTGGATGTGGGCTGGTTGTATTTCTGGATTTGTTTACTTTTTCATAACCGATCTTCAACTCCACTGCTGTGATATAAACATTTTATACCAGTTTCTGAAGCAATGGCGTAAAAGCTTGCATCTATGCGTGAGAAAACTTCTTGCTTCTACCACCGATATTTATAATGAGGGAAAGTAAACCGCTCATTATAGCACTTCCGCACTTTCCGCACCATTTCCGACTTCCCTCCTTCTTCCCTGTCTGCTCCCTCGATCCCTCGCAAGTTTACATCGCTGCTTTGCTATCATGATCTAGCGGCGATGCTTGCTGAAAATGAATTACGCTAACTACAGTGATATACAGTACTATAGACAAATTTTAACAACGTAAAATCTAGGATTTAAAATCCTCACTGGAACTGAAGACTTAAAACAAGGATATGAAAGACAATAAAATTTTATCCCTAAACTTTCCAAAACCTTAAGTTAATAATGAAAAAAGATGACGACATCTAGAGTTCGCATTCTTTTGCTGCTCATAACTGATTATAATGAAAAAAAAAGAAGTGACAATGAAGCTTTTTGAAAATTTTTCGTTGTTAAAGCACACTGCCTTGATGGCGCACAAAAGGGCCAGTTATTTTTGTTAAATTTGTCAACCAATAACACATGCCACTGTTTCATAGGTATTTATAGTTGATGCTTTGATCAGTTCTTGTTTCTTCTCTCCATTGATACAGCTAGCAACTTCTTCAGTTCTCTTTTTTGAGCCCCTCTCATCCAGAACATCCCATTTACTGTTCAAACTGATTTTTTCAATGCACTGATGGCTCTTCCCATATTCTTTCGAAATCGACTGAGTACTGTTCAAAAAGTGAATAGTCCGTTTCAAATAGCTGTCCACCTTCTGACAATTAAAAAATGATTTTGAATTTTTTTTTTTTTTATATTTCCAGCAGCTTAAAAGGTGATTCGGATTTAAGCGAAGCATTCAGATGCTCTTGAATTAAACATATGAAATGGTATTTTTGAATTAAGCATATGAAATGGTATTTTGGTCAAAACATGTTTGTCCTATTTTTTGCATTGAACAATTAAGCATATCAGCATGTAATTTTATCAGACGCTGAATTCACTCATAATTAATATTGGTGTTTTGTTGCCTTGTTTTTGAGTGAATCTCCTGATTTATCGTCCGTTGCAAGAAAACGTTCTTCCAGGATGGAAATTTTGTCAGTTGCAAGTATCACCATACTGCCAGTAATTTGCACTGCTCTAGACAGCTCATCGCCAATATTTTGGCTGACCAGCGAGCTCAGGAATATTGAGTGGCGTAAGGGTTGCTTAACAACAGCTGGTTGCGCACAACCGCGATTTCAGCTGGTCCTTCTGAATGGTGTCACCAACGAGAAACTGTCGAAAAGTTGGTTGATTACGCCTCAGCTCATGCAGGTTATTCTTGAATTTCACATATCAGCGAAACTAGTACTATTAACTCTTCATTAAGTAAAAGATAACTTGAAGCTTCAATTCTGTCAATGAGCAGCTGATTTTCTTTCCGACTCGTTCATTCATTTCAGTGGTAAATTGGTACTGATATATGCCGGAGAAACAAACTCGCCACTAGCTTGCTTCAAAGCAATCCTTGCCTTCGAAGAAGGGATCCATCGGAGCTGCTGACATTTACTTCAGTCGGGCTACTTCCCGAATACTTTTGCCCCTCAATGAGGGCAAGATTTTGGCTTTAACATAATAATAGTGGCGAATTGAGTGGTTATTGAAGTAAATCGTTATCAGCAGTTCACTGGGAGCAGTCGAAATAAGATAAACTGGTACTTCTCTTTTTCCGCTTTCCTTCCAAAAAATAATAAAAAACTCCTCAGTGCTCAAGCTTCTTGAGATGTGGAAGCACTCGGAAGTGTCCCGAGTAACAATTTCCAGCATCAACAGCAGCTGACAAGACTTTTGATGGCTTTTCTTTTTCGGCCTTTGCTGAAGGCAAGCTGATAGCAAGTTTTATCCCTGTCTTGCGATAATACCAATTTACCATCGAAACGAATGAACGAGTCATAGTGGGTCTCGCGGAGTCAGTCCCTTGACTTTTTTTCATAACAGTACAAGTATTGTTTTCAGAAAATTCTACAACTCCCGAGGCCCAGATCGAGCAATTTTCTGAGTAGATGGGAGTTTTTGCTGTGAGGCA